ATAAAGATAAAGAGCGCTCTTTCCTATATCTATACGTATCTTTTTGCTCTCTCTCTCTCTCTCTCTCTCTCTCTCTCTCTCTCTTGCTCTCTTCAAAAATACAGTCAGAGAGACTCAACATGCTTAGAGTTGCTGTGAAGATAGCAATATATTCCCCTGCTCTGTGCAGAGCAGGTGCACTGCCGTTTCAATAAACTCTACTTTAAATTACAATGACTCAAATTAATCTCTTACCTCTGTTTCCAATCTAAGCTTTGCTTCCCCAATAAGCTGTGCCTCCAACTGAAGAAGAAGGTGTGCATCATAACCATCACAATTTTCTCGCAGGATTGAAAACCTAAACATGTAAATCATTAAATCCACACAAATACCTAAAAAAAGAAGTTAAAAACAGAAAAAAATTAAAAGAAGAAACTCACGATTCAATTATGTTCTGCATGATATGAAATTCTAGGGCTCTGTAGAGGTTATAGGTCTCCAATGGCAAGCTGCCAGTGTACATTTTCAATGAAAAAGGAGAATAGATGGCAGAGAGGAAGTAAAACTCACTGTCTCTCACCAATTTGTGAATTGCATTTGCCTTTGGAATTTGTTCTGCGAGCTCGAACTGCCTGGCTCGGGACCAAAAATGGTGATCTTCGCTCTCAAGGCTCGGCATAGTCAATATTCTTTCCAGACGATATAGCCGAGCGGCTATATATATAAGAAAGACGCGCCTCGATCCTAGATTCAAATACATACAGCCGCTCGGCTATACTATTTTTAAAAAAGGCTGATTGCCGTGCGGATATACTATTCCTTAAAATTTCCGAAAATAATCGGGTATAGCCGACCGGCTATACTATATGTATATACAGAGACCAGCCCAGCGGATATGCGACACGTGTCATACGAGTATAGCCGTTCGGCCACCTTAAAAAAACATTTTTAAAACGAGTATAGCCGATCGGCTATACTATTTTTTTAAAAGGTTTTTTAGGTTTTAGACATAAAAAAATTTCACTTTTGGAAAAAGCCAAAGCTTTTTCAAAAAAGACAAAAAAACCACTCAACTTTCAAATCAAAGACATGCAAATGTATTGAATTCATTAGGAAATCTAAAAATAAATAAGGGTATTTTTGTCCATTTTTGCTTATTTTAAAATTTTTCTCTCTCCTTTTGCTTTTTCCAAAATGTCCCTTTTTTTAAAACAATAAAAAACTGAGTGTAGCCGTCCGGCTGTACCATTTGTTTTTAATACAATATTATTTTGGGCAATAATTTCCCCACTCCTATTTTATCCATTTACACTCCTTTTTTTGGGCAATAATTTCCCCACTCCTATTTTATCCACTTACACTCCTTTTTTAGTTATAAAAAAGGAGTGTAAGTGGATAAAATATTAGAAAAAGGAGTGGGGAAATCACCACTCATTATTTTTATTCAATAATATGTGAGAATTATGTATATAATAGTTAATTAATATATATTTAATTAATCAAAAGTTTGGCCTTGGGCCTTGGGGCTCTTAGGCTCTGCTATTTAATTTAAACTCGATTAGTTAATTAATTAACTAATTATTTGAATTATTTTTAAAATTGAAATATCATATAATGCTTTTGTTTGATTGAGTTTGTCCTGTAAATTCGCAAAGAACATTCATATTATCATTCTTATATAGCTACATAGATAAACACACAAATTTCGCTAGAAACAATGAGGAAACAATTGATTATAGCCGTGTGGCTATACCATTTTTTAAATATATATTATTTTTATTCAATAATATGTGATAATTATGTGTATAATACGTAAATTTCGTGTCTTATTGAAATTTTTGTAAAAAAAAATGTGTTTACATGAGAAATACGTGCGTACGTGTATAATACATTATTAAATGTGAATTAAACATGAGAAATACGTGTATTAAACATGAGAAATATGTGTATTAAATATGAGAAATACTTGTATTAAACATGAGGAATATGTGTATTAAACATGTGAATTAAACATGAGAAATACATGTATTAAACATGAGAAATAGGTGCGTATGCGTATAACACCCCAAATGATGCGGAAATAAACAAATTATCTTTCAACCACTTAAACAGAAGAGAGAACCTAAAAATTCAAGTAGAGAGATAGAAATAGAGGAAAAGGAAGAACCCCAATATATCTTACCTTTGGGTGAGTCAAAAACCAGGTATCCCAATCTCTGGTGCGAGTGTAATCATAAAAGAAAAAAGGAAGCAAATATTGAGGAGGTGTTGAATAAAAAAAAACAAACCAAAGGAAGTAGGGAGAAAGAGAGGGGGAGAAGAGGAAAAGAGAAGATAGGATTAGCTGAGAAAGAAAGAAGAAATTGGAAAGTAGTCAGCAACTCCCAACGCAAGGAAACTTTCCTGGACTGAAAGGAGGTGCCTTTTTCCCATTATTTTCCAGCATAACTATCCAAAATTGCCATGGGTTTTGGAGAGTATGAAACTTGACATAAAGGTCTACATTGTTCTAAGCCCCCTGGGCTAATCCCTGGGAATGGTGTGCCCACTGCCCACCC